AACGCTTAACACCAGAGGCTGTCCCCCTCACAGCAGCTGCTAACACAAACCTGCTGTAATCGGAACTAAATGAAGGCAGCGCTTCATCCACAGGGGAATTCTCCGTGGTAATGACCCTAAAAACACAGAGCCTCTCCTTCAACATTAGAGAAATATGTATCAGGACAATACAACTACAAAGGGCTGTTGAAATAATGATTAGTAAAATAGTACTCAAATGAAGTTTATTTAGTTGCATTATTTTAAATGTACACTATACTGTACCTTTCCTTCAGCATTAGAAAAATAAGTATCACAAATAGGGTGACCACATTTTCAAACTCAAACACTGGAACATCCTCGATTTGTGGTGGTTAGTAATAATAAAACTGTGAAATGAGTGTGTAATTAAGGAGAATTGTTCTGCACTCGGTCCATTCATGACTAACATGTGAGTCAGTATAGTCACATTTTCTTTTGGTCATTTTTAAGCAGCTTTTCTGTATTTCTGTATATATTTTCTGTATGAAAATGTATGCCTCTCTTTACTGTTAGCAGTGATCAAATTGGTCAAAAGTAGGAACACGTGGGATTTCTTGTATAAAACTGGGAGAAATCATTGGTTTTGTATAAATCAGCTGGGACAGGGTAGTCAGGCTGGCGTCACCTAGTGCCTCCGCTCAATTTCATTTCTCTCCAGTGACTAGGTCAGGAATCAGAATACACTAGAGGGTTTGCATAAACTCCCGAAGTTGTTGACCATGCACTGGCAGTAAAGAGTGAAGAGCTGTGAAGCCATGACGTCAAACTCAAGCTCCTGTGTGTGTCCCTTTTGTGGAACAGGACAACAGTAAACAAAGCGGTCGAGATGGATGTAGACGAAGACAGACATTCTGTGTTGGTGACGATTCCCGAGATCGAGGATTTAAAGCCAGAACAAAGAGAATGATTGACGAATTTTATCAAGGAGAAAGACGTTATTGCCCTTCTTCCTACGGGATTTGGCACATTACATTACCAAATAGCAGTGATTGGTTAAATTAAAAAAAGTACCTGCCTACCATCGAGCAAACGAATCCAAATGCTGCGAGGTCAGACGGTTTCCATGAAGTGAAACCGGCTGATGAATCAGGCTAGGGACAGGGGACACGGGACTCAAAACTGGAACTGTCTTGGGTAAATAGGGATGTCTGCTCACTTTAATCAGGAACCAATACACCTACACAGTGCTGTATTGTAATAATGATTAGTAAAATAGTAGTTCTCAACTGAAGTTTATTTAGTATCATAATTTTATATTAATAGGTGTACTATGTAATTTTTCTGGTGTTTGTTTACTACCATGGAGATGTTATTGCTTTGTCTGAATGTTCCACAGCAGGACATTCAGTTTCCTAAATTGCAATTTTTCAATTACAGGCGTAGGTGAAAATATATGGTGCCATCCCAGTTGTCTCCATGGAGATATCTAAGGTAATGCCATACTGTGAAACATTAAGGGCAGTAAGTAATAATATAGCACTAAAACACACTTATTCATTTGAAGTGACATATGTGGGCTCTCCTGTAACAATGTTTCTTATCATTATCATTTTGGACCTAATTGAATCTAAATAATATCTTTCAAGTTGCCCATATGACGTTGCTCCAAAGTCATTGTCCGGTCTCAGTGGTGTGAGTGCCCTTGACCCTATACACAGCTGACACTCCCCCTTGTCCTCTCCCTCCCTTTATCTCTCTCTGCCTCTCCCTTTATATCTCTCTGTCTCTCTCTTTCTCTGATCCGTCTTTAATCTGAAGCTTTGGACCAATTAAGACAGATCCAGACTTGTGTTATTATTGACCAGTGTTGAGCTCAGAGCCGGTCCCAAGAGAAGCTCACATCACAGGAGCTGATCAGCCCAAAGACCGGGATCAGAGATGGGAGGAAATATTTACTGTTTAACTCACTTCTGTTTCCAGGGGTTTAGTTCATGTAAATATCGCAAACACAGAGTTACAAACCAACACAGGCCAACTTGGACACTGAACTTTAATTGAGAATAACTAATAAGCCAATAACAAAATATCTGGATTTAAGTAAGAGAAAGGTGGATAATTTACATTTTCTGGTAGTCAGTATGGATTTACACTTCTACACGTCTTTTTTGCATTTATTCAATTACAGTTCTTTTTTATTGTTAGAAATACCTTAAAAACATACATACTTACTGTGCATGGTTTCACCTCTCCACAGATCTGACCTGTAACTTGGCATGGCGGTTGCATCATCTGCTTGTTTACATGGGGATAGACAAGTTTAAATCTGTATAGTGTAGAACAGGGGTCTCCAACCTTTTTCCTCCAGTGAGCTTCCTTTACAAAACAAAAATGCCAGAGAGCGACTAGTTTTAGGCAGTCGCAAGAAATTTAGTATAAAACAGAGCTACAGCAAGCCTTAGATGAGGTACAGTTATATTAGGGTGACCAGATGTCCCTATTTACTTGGGACAGCTCCAGTATCGAACCCTGTGTCCCCTGTCCCGGCAGATATATCCAAAACCAGTGATTTGTCCCAGTTTTATACAAGAAATGTCACAGGTGTCTCTATTTTTAACCAATTTGATCCCTGCCAACAGTAAAGAGAGGCATTAATTGTCATTTGTTTAAGTGAAATACAGAAAAACTGCTGCAAAATGGCGAAAACAAAAAGACAATGTGAATATAATGATTCATGAATGGCTGTGTGCAGAAAAGTTTTCCTTAATTCCGCACTCGATTCACAGTTTTATTATTACCAACCACCACAAACCAAGGGTGTCCCAGTTTTTTATTTTGAAAATCTGATCACCCTAAGTTAGATACCTATAAAATATAACGTATTAGTGCACAAAACCGGGCTTCAAAATGATACATGTACAATAGTAAAAGGCATTTAATTTATCAGATTTTACTTCAACACAATACGTATAATTCAGAAATCCCTTGGTGCGCTACTTGGACCGGAGTGGAAAGCTACTGGTGGCTCCCGAGCTACAGGTTGGAGACTTCTGGAGACTTCTGGAGACAAGCTGGTGGCAGATCCTCTTTCAGAAAAGTGACATAGTGGACATTTAAATTTCACTGTAGTAAGTCGCACCAGCTGTGAGCTTTAAGTTGAAACACCCTGGTTTATTGTAGCTGCAGATTCACTCATGTTATGTATGTTCTTCTAAGAAATGTCCCAGAATGTGTCTTTTGTGTGAATGAGTTAATTGTTCCTTTACAGAGAGATAAGGATCACTCTCCACGCCCAGCATGTGGTCAGTTCCAGAGGGTCCTCGGCCGTGTGCCTGCCCCTCCCCCCTTGGTGACCCCCTCTTCTCAAAGGTGACGGAGGGGGACAGGGACAGGCACAAACTGATCGAATTTGATAATGAAGACGACCCTATAAGCTGCCGGGACCCCCCTTTAGCCTGTCAGCGCAACATTGTGTCAGCTATTGATCCGGCTAACTGCGCATTTTAATACCTTAAGACCTTAATCGGACTCAAAGGGAAAGATGGGCCTCTTTTACACATCTGTTTAAGAAATAATAACAGCACCTGCCATGGAGGAAAGATGGACCTCGACTGTACGCACTGTCACTAACTATTTAGGCAAAGATGGACTGTTGGAAAGAAAGAGCCAGTTTGCCGGTGAAATCCACAGTTTTGTATGTCTGAATTTTTATTTCAGTCTGGTCCACACATCTCACATTGTGTCTTGAGCCAGAACCAAACACAATCATCCAATCAGATTTGTTTATTTCAGTGGCACATGTGAAACAAAGAACCTCATTGGTCACCTATTATTTAGAATAAAATGACATTTCTCTCACCTCAGATGAAATTAAAACTTAGACAGACTTTATTAATCTACAAGGGAAATAATTTGGACACAGTGGCTCACACATCACAATATAAAATAATAACAAAGAGTAAACAATATAAACTGTAGTAATAAATTCTAAATAAGTTGCAAAAAAGAGCACGAGACAGTTGTGAAATAAGACATCATTAAGTATAATTCAAAATAAATAGAAAATAAGTAATAAAATATAAAATCTCAAGCATATACAAGAAGTCATTGGAAGTAAGTGCAAAAATGATATGGTGATTGACAGGACAGTGTTGTACAGTTGTAGGGAGTATTATCTGTTACATAAGGGTGAGTTGTTGCACAGTTGTAGGGAGTATTATCTGTTATCTGTATTATCTGAGTTGTTGTACAGTTGTAGGGAGTATTATCTGTCACATAAGGGTGAGTTGTTGTCCAGTTGTACGGAGTATTATCTGTTACATAAGGTTGAATTGTTGTACAGTTGTAGGGAGTATTATCTGTTATCTGTATTATGTGAGTTGAGGTACAGTTGTAGGGAGTATTATCTGTTACATAAGGTTGAATTGTTGTACAGTTGTAGGGAGTATTATCTGTTATCTGTATTATGTGAGTTGAGGTACAGTTGTAGGGAGTATTATCTGTTACATAAGGGTGAATTGTTGTACAGTTGTAGGGAGTATTATCTGTTACATAAGGCTTAGTTGTACGGTTGTAGGGAGTATTATAGTATGAATGTAGTCCTGTATCTCTCAGTGTTTGAGTGGAGCTGTAGGAGCCTGTTGGAGAGTGAGCTCCTCTGGTGAACAGAGTTTAGTGCTTCACTCACTGGTCCTGCAGAAATCTGTGTTTTTCAGTGACTTGCGGTGTTTTTTACTCTCTTTATTCCTCGTAAGCAGATATATTTGTTTTGATAAGGACAGACCATGCCTCTCCCTGATTGGCTAATCCTTCTGTCAGTCATGCCCATCTGAACTGGGGGAGATTCCGCAGTGACCAGACTCACATCTTTGTAAAGTATTGTAAGTAAGTAAGAGGTGTGTATTCTGGATGTCAGGCAACAATGATTGGACAGTCACGATAATACTTTTTGAAGTGTGATTTTCTGCTGAATAAAATATAGATGATTAATTATAATGAAACTATCCTACTGTATAAAAGAACGTATCTATGTGACCTTGCAGTTAACCAATGGTAAATGTTTTTATTGATCACAATAACCTTGAAAAAGTTACATTCTTACATGGAGTGGGGCTGCATCTTCACAGATCTGATCTGGAACTCAGCCTGATGGTGTTACCTGCTTGTCTCCATTGAAACAGACATGTTAAAAGCCATACTTAGGAACATTCCAAGGTCAAGAAGGACAAGAAGGTAGGCTGCAAAAATATGGCAGAATGAAACACTTACAGTATATAGAGTCAAATCTTATTGTAGAATAGAAAAATAACAAAAAGTACCCATGATAAATTTTGACCCCAAAAATTGATTATTCTATTATTTACAGAATAAGTGGATATATTAATTATCCTGACAGACCTAAGTAATTACACACAAATCTTTGGCCAATACAGTTTATTATAAAAAGTTGAACAGATAGAAAACAGAACAGCATCATTTCTTACTAGTTTCTGATATACGTTTTTGCAACTGTGATGGAAAAGATATTGACAGCTGAATTCAAATAAAAGCGGACATTTTAAAGAAGAATACATTAATATTGCTGGAAGTTGTTTTATGATGAACGTGTAAATCATTTGAATGTTTTTGCTGACATTTCTGAGGCCAGAATTGTATGTTAAGAGAACTCATATAACTCATTTAAATTGGCCTAGTTCTGGTTTGAAGTTAATTAAATAGTATGAAATTATTTGCAATGGATCAACATAAAATTTTGCATAACAGATTTAAATAGGGTCAACATTACATTTTTGTTTTCGTTTTTTGAGTGTACAACAGAGCCGCAATTTTTAAGTAGAATCTCTCACTCCAACTAATAATTATTTTATGGACAATTGTATTAAAACACGTGTAAATTTAGACACAATAGGTAATAAAGTAAAACAAATAATAAAAAAAAATATAGAAATGTTATTTAATTTATTTTTTGGCCCAACTGAGCGAGCAGAATACCAGTGAACAGAATCTCCAGGGCATGTTTTTACAATATGCAAATGAGATAAAGTAGTTATTACTCTAAATCAAAGTATTTTTTCCATCACAGCTGTAAAAAACAACAACTTTAATTTAACTATTGACTGATGAATGTTGAACATGAAACAGCACAGGTCAGGTTATCCCCAGTAGACTAATTTATATCAAAAAGCATCATTATTATTGAGTTATAAAGTTTTTTTTTTAGTGCGGTGAGTGAGTTTCATGCATAACACATGGTGGATTTGTTGACTAGAAATACAAAGATATAATTCAACTTTGGAGCTAAACAGGGACCGCCAACCCCCTGGTTCCAAAACTAAATATTCCATCAATTTTACTCATAGACATTCAGAAAAAACAAATAAAAAATAACATTTGAAAGGTCTTTAGTTATGTGGCAACTACAAGGCCACAAGACCTATCATTTTATTTAAAAACTATATAAACCGTTAAGTTAATAAAGTCTTGTGTTTTAAATGTGCTGTTTTTTGGCCATGTTATTAGTGTAGCTGATTAGCCCCTGTGGTGTCTTTGCTTTTTTTTTGAAAGCAGAACGGGCCGTCACTGTTGAGCTCCATAAAAGGTATAAAATTCAGACAAACTAAGTAGGCTATTTCAGCTAGAACGTCAATCAAGTATTCAAGATTCAGGATTTGAAAGGCAAAAAACAATATATTTGATAATGTAAGAGACGTCAGTACAACCACAAGTGCCTTTTACATAATGACAGAATTCGCTGAAGCACAGGTGGAGACACAGATAAGTAACAGTGTAAGAACACACATGAGGTAACTCAGAGTTGGGCCCTAAACAACAAGAGCATCTCTTTAGTGCAAACTGCTCAAATCAAGTACAACTGTTCAACCCACAATGCCCGTTATAAAGGTGGAGTAAGGCATTTCAATAGTCATGGGCACATTAAAAAATAAATACAAGAAAAATACAAAATGTCTATCAAAAAAAGAGGAAAATAAGAAGTACTAAACTGAATTAAAGGCTCACTGTGTAGCTTTTCCTATGGGGGTCTGGAGTAAGTCATTTCTATAGTTAAAGGTACATTATGTCACTTTTCTGATGGAGGGTGCATTGTGGATGTTATTGCTTTGCCTGGAATATTCATTGACAAGAAATTATACATTATACAACGCAAATACACTGACAAACTTACTGTTGGCGGGGTCACCTCTCCATAGATCTGATAAGTAAGTTGGTATATTGGTGCCACCTGCTTATCTCCATGGAGACAGATAAGTTTAATGCCGTACTGTTGAGCATTCCAGGCAAAGCACTAACAGCTCCAATAATACATGAAAATAAAATCCAAAATATCTGTAAAAATGAAGGTGAAAACTGTCAATAAATTGTTTACTGTGTCATTTTCCTGCCACCTGCTTGTCTCCATGGAGATGTTATTGCTTTGGTTATGGCTATGAACTTCAATCTTTTACTTCAACTTCAATTACAGGTAATCCTAACAAAAAAATTTACAATCTTGCAGACTCGCCTCTCCACAGATCTGTCCTGTACCTTGGCACGGTGGCGTCACGCTCTTAGAAAAGTTTAATACCATACTGTGGAACATTCCAAGCAATGAAGCACCGTCACCAGAAAAGTTACATCAGGTTGTAATGTACCATTCTATTTTATAATGGAGCTACCAGTTCATTTGATCAAAATTGGACATAAATTAAACACATTTAAAACAAAAATAATAATTCCATTGATTTTCATACATTCCTCCAAAACATTTAAATTTGATAACTTTTTCACAAATCTATACATAATTTAACACTGGCAGTTCTCAGGCTTGTCCATTTCCAAAAGCTGTGGTTAATTAAAACAAAAAACAAAAAAAAACGCTATTGTACCAGAAATAACTTAATCCACCTTTAAAATCTACCAAAGCCGTCTCTATAGAAGTTCGAGAGGACTCCCCAGGTCTAAAACACATTAAATTAACATAATTCAGAACAGAAATACCCAAATGAAACACTGCTAATGGTTTCCTATTGCTTTGACAAGGCTGTCCTCTCAGTTAAAGACCACAGCTCCACGAGGCTCTGGTCTGAGCCGTCACTATAGAAACAAACGGCGCCCATGTTGGATTATTGTCATCTTTTCACTTTGGCGTCCTCTTTGATTTTCCACATCATCAGCTCCATACACGCAGACGCATCTTCGCTCGAGTCGTGGCCCCCAACTGGAAAACAAGAAATTATTTAAATAACCTTGAATAATGAATGGCATTGGGTATTAAATATTGAGTCATATGTCTGATGAGTCACCTAGCAACGTGTTGGGGAAAAGGGCAAAATGGTTAGAGCATTTATCGGACCACATCTATATTTCAGGAATTCTGACTATTCATTTAAAGGTGCACTTTGTAATCTGTCTGGTGGACAAGACAATAGGTAATGGGAAGTGCTTTGCCTGGAATGTTTTACAGAATGGCATTAAATTTATCAATCTTATATTAATATAATCAGATGTTTACTGCAAAAAAATCCTTGAAAATACACGCATTACATAGTCCACCTTTATTTTAAAGAGTGACCTCTGCTGGCGAGAGATCGGCAGTGCAAGCAATGACTATTCAATAATTATTATAAAAGAGCCAAAATAAAAACTTTACAAAGTGCTGAAATTATTGCAACAACATGAAATTAATTACATATTTTATTTAGATAAACTGGCTATTTTTTGGTTGGCTTGAAAATGCTATATTCACCAAAAAAAGCATTACAAAAGTTTAATGAGGTGAGGTAGGTAGCACTTCCACAAGTTTGTAATTTTCAGGACAAGTTGTTGATTAAAAATACATTTATATTGTGCATGTGTGTTGTGTGCATTATTCTCACCACTGTCCTGTATGATGCGTTTGAGGTGGTCGGCCATCAGGTTCCTCAGGGCTCTTTTGTACGGCAGGCCGAGGCGATGAGGGAAAACTAAGGCTGTGTCCACCACCAAACTGTGGATGAGCTGTAAACACAAAGAGGCTCATTCAGACTCAAACAGAGACTCAAACAATAATGCCTTTTATTACACGAACAGTCATGACCATTACACTATCTGGGTTACACATTATGATTACATGAGAAATAGAACAAAAAACTTCAATGGACTAGTTTACCCAGTACCAATTTTGATACCACAGTATGAAAAAATGATACTTCTGGTTGATACTGGGGTGCCTGACTTTATTCTAATAAATAATTTCTTTCATTATTGTATGTTTTTATTATTTATTCTAAAAGCAGCACTTACGAGGCAAAATCAAGCTTGAGAACACTAACAATGTACAAGTTTTTTTTACATTTTATTTGAATCGCCATTAGCCCAAAGAGCTTATGAGAGCAAGAAAGTAGCTGGACAGATACACACCATTTTCTCTTTTCAAGGTTCGAAAATTGTGTATCCCATCATAAATGAACATAAGATAGATTAACTGTTCTATAAAATGGCCTTCAGTCTACCCATCTCCACATTATAAGTGTAGTATTAGCGTAAATCAGTGTCTTGGTATCAAATTGGATGGTACCTTGAGAGCGAGAAGGTCACTCTCCAGACTGTGTCCGAGGAGGATGGACTCTGCACTGAACAGACTGAGGAGCACGGCCTGGACGTCTCGCAGAGTGATGCTCACACTCTCCAGGTCCTCCTCCGTCACACCAGAAAACCTGACAAAAAAAACTGTTAACTTCATCAAGACATTTACAGTGAAAATTATACAAGTGAACATGCATGTCAAACAAAAACCATTAATGATAACTTATTTTCAGTTATTTTCTAATGAGCATAACCAAGAGGACAAAGCCTGTTGCCATCAGACCTGTCACAAAAATGTATTTATCAACTGATCTTTGAATAAATAGTTTTTCGTTTGTATTTGTGAAGGAGGCATTTGCTTGTTTTGTTCAGTCTACCCCAGGGCAGCTGTGGCTACATTAACCACAGGTGTGAAGTGAATGAATAATGCAAACGTAAAGCATCTATGAGCCTAAAGTTTATATTAATCAAGTACATTATTATTATTATTATTATTATTAAGCTGCAGTAAACACTGTGATTGTGATTGGTTTCACAAAGGGTTTAATGAGATTATGAAGCTTTATGCCAGGCTATTGAGTCAAAGGAATTAATATTTCCTGCAACAATACACAAGTGACAGACATAAAACATAGAGGACTTTATTTAAAACCAGGGGAATCACCTTGTGTTGTAGTCCACGACTTTGCTGGCCGGTTTGACAAATGTATCGTAGATGACTTTCAGCTCGGAGTCGATCACCGTCACACGAGTGAGCTCAAGGCCCTGCTTCGTGTAACACTGAAAAGAGAGATTTGATTAAGAGTATAGACAAGAAAGACAATGTATATTTGTGGTCCAATCCTCTGTTATGAAATTACCAGCAGCTATTCGGCAGGTTTAAAGGTGCATTGTGTAACTTTTTGTTTGGGAGTCTGTCACTTGCTTATTTCTATGAATATGTCATTGCTCTGCCTGGAATGTTCCACAGTATGACATTTAACTGCTCTACCCTACACTTATTCAATTACAGATGGTTTTATAGCTCAGAAATACCTAGAAAAACAGGCATTCTGACTGTGAGTGGGGTCACCTCTCCACAGATCTGACCTGTAAATTGGTCTGGTTTGGTCTCCATAAAGATAGAAAAGTTTAACACCATACTGTGAAACATTCCAGACAAAGCAAGAACATTTCGACAGAAAAAGGATTTGACAGACCCGCCACCAGAAAAGTTACACAATGCACCTTTAAGTTTACTAACCATTTCACAGTCCAAGGCGTACACTCCTGCATTGCCGTCTGCAGGCAGAGGTTTACTGAAGGTGCTGACGAATCCATCTAAGGACTCTTTCCGCCCGTCCTGAACATGTTGCTGTGAAATATAACAATTCAAATAACAATCCAAACAGATCATTAGAGCTTTAGGGATAATCACACATTAAAATATAGGATAAACAAACACATTTAGCTGAGCATTGCAACTTCAGACAGGAAAATGTAATAAAAAATGTGTTACCTTGGAAACCTGGCAGCCCAGTGACCCAACAGCCCCGGAGCAGCAGCTGTAACTCGTCTCCCAGCCTCCAGACACTGACACAAAACCACAAAATGACAATTAATTAACAAACTGTAAAAAACTTTAGATGCAAGGTGTTTTGCTTTTAAAGGTGTACAATGTAACTTTTCTGGTGTAGGGTCCACCACATGCTTGTCTCGTGTTGCTTTGCCAGGAACGTTTCACAGTATGACATTAGACTGATACCTTATTTTTTTTCCCCAATTATAGGTGTTTCTTTGCCAGGAATGTTCCACAGTATGACATTAAACTGATATCTTGCTTTTTTCAATTATAGGCATTTCTAAAAGCTTAAAACATGTATTCTAACTGTAGGCAGGGTCAAGTCTCATATATCGTGAAGCTGAAATTTGGCCCTACTGGAGTCTCGTTTGTCTCCATAGAGATGGATAACTTTACCTAACATATTGTGAACATTTTCAGGAAAAGCAATAACATCTCTACGGAGTCAAACAGTTGGGGAGCATATAAATGTTTATTTCATTCCACAGTGGAGCTTATTTTTCATTTTTATTTATTTTTAGGAATTGTTTATTTTTGACCCATATATTATTTCACTATCAGGTTAAGGTTAGGGTTAGGATATGCTGAACGTTTAAGGAGTCCCTAAACAGTTGGAGGACCCTCCACTAGAAAAGTTTGAATGTGCACCTTTAAAAATATGGCTAAATTATAATTAAAATGTATGAATGAAATATAAATGTTAAATATGATGAACCTTTGTGTCTTCGTAACCGTCCCCAGTGAAAAGTGCACTCCTCTTTCCGGACACAGCTTCCATTTGCACTGACTTTATACTCCGCTCCACACCGACAGCAGACCTTTGTAAACGCTGAAAACAATAAAAACATTGAAATTCACAACAGTAGGTACATTAACCTGGCCAGTAAAAATCAGATAACAAGAATGATCAGATAACCCAATGATTAGATCTGATTTTTACAGCAGATAATAATTTGATTTTAGGTGTGCATGTGAACATAACTAGTGAAACGTAAGGATGATTTGTGGAGAGGTATTTACGGTCTATAGGGGCAGCCTTCTTCTCTGGGAGGTTGTACAGAAGAGCTTTGCCTGAGGCCTCTGGGTCTTTTCTTGGATATCCATGCTCCTGCAGCTGCTCCTCTGTCATCAAATATGTCTTCAGCTTATGGTACAGAGTCGCTCCTGGAAAAAAATTAGATTAATAAGGACAAACCAGTTACCTGTAGAAAAAATGCATTTATTTTTGCTACTTTACAGAAAAAAATCCACAAGATTATCAGTCAGCAAAATTATCTTAATTATCGTAATATTTTTTTCTTTTTGTCACTACTGCAATCAATATAGAAAATATTGCATAAGAAATCTGTTACGACAGGAGAGCCCTGCAGTGCACAGTGAACACAGCCAGGAAGATCATAGATAGATAAATACTTTAGATAAATACTTTATTGATCCCCAGAAAGGAAAATTAAGGTGCACAACTCCCCTTCCTGCAAGACATGTACACCACCCGCCTCAATTGTGAATGATGCAAGTCCCTCCGCACACAATCTGTTCAGCCTCACGCCCTCCGGGAGGAGGTACAGCACAAGAACTTTGGACTTTTCCTTTTATATGATTTAATTCAGAAGATAGAAGAACATAATTTTTCATCTGTTCATGATATGTGAAATTTGACAATAAACTTTTTGAATTGAATTAAATTGAATTATGATTTAACTATGCAACAAAATAGAAAGATAAAAATAAAATAAGAATAAAAATATTTTCTTCAATCAAAGTTTAAAGTAGGACCATGTGACCCATAATCTAAATGAGGAAATCTCACCCGATGGTTTCTCCTGGCTTTGTTTGCCCGTCCTGTTCACAGTGAAGCTGGTGGTCGCTGCCAGACGACCCCCCAGAACCTCCTCATGGGACTGGGCCCTTCTGTTGGACACCAAGGCAGCTGGTTCTGGAGAAAACAAGATTATAAGGAAAATATATACAATACACAATACGCTGTCAGTAGCAGTAGCAGCAGTGGTAGCAGGAGGGGAGTAATAATAGTATAGTAGTAGTAGTAGTAGTAGTAGTAGTAGTAGTAGTAGTATAGTAGTAGTAGTAGTAGTAGTAGTAGTAGTAGTAGTAGTAGTAGTAGTAGTAGTACCAGCAGTAGCAGTAGCAGTAGTCAGTGTTGGGAGTAACGCGTTATAAAAGTAACGAATTACAGTAATGCATTACTTTTTGCTGTAACGCAGTAATGTAAGGCATTACAGGGGAAAAAATAGTAATATTTTACTCGGTACAAATGTGAGTAACGCGCGTTACAGTGTTTTTTAACCTGGATTGAAGTGGTGGGTTTTTCTTCATACAAATTCGCTAAAATCACCTCGATATCAGCAGTGGTGAAACACCGGAGATGCGCCCTCATAGACCTTCAGGTAACCGCGGGCGAAAGGACTGACAAAGAACTCCACGCTGTTTAGACCTGGTTTAGACCTGGGTCAGTTTTGGTTTAGACCTGGTTTAGACCTAGTTTAGACCTGGGTCAGTTCTGGTTTAGACCTGGTTTAGACCTGGTTTACACTCGTCCCTCCCTCTATCGCAGTTCACTTTTCGCTGTCTCGCAGATTTTTTATTTTTTTATTTTTTTGTGTGCAATTTTGCATGCCCTGTTTTTTTTACATTGTATGAATGTGTATTGCGTTCCTCCCGCTGCGTCCTGACTGGCCAAGGGACTCCTGTCTCCTGTACAGTACAGTACAGAATGTGTTCAGCTGCCAAATTTAAATACATGTTCAATCTCTAGCAGTGTGATTCTGAAGTGCTGTACGGTTGCAAGTTTTCTCCCCGACGAAACCCACAACGTCGACAAAATGTTCTGCACCGACAAAGGCTCCTGCGCTCGCACCCAAAAGGCAGAGGAAGATGCAAACCATCACACAAAAAGTTGGACTTCTGGACACGCTGAAGGAAGGTAGAAGTTACGCGCGCTGTAACAGACTCTTGCACCGGCTCGGGTACCTGCAAATAGTTGCTGAAATCAGGGCCGCGAGCCCGAGCAGCAGGGTGACAGCCGCTCTTACCTCCGTGAGGTGCGGAGCAGAGCCGCTCCTTTCTCCTGCGGTCACCTTCGAGCCCTTCCCTACAGTGAGTCCTGTTTTAGTCCTAGTTCAGTTCTAGTTTAGTCCTAGTTCACTTCTGGTTTAGTCCTGGTTCAGCTCTGGTTTAGTCCTGGTTTAGACCTGGTTCAGTCCTGGTTCAGTCCATATACAGCGCAAAAGTTATTTTGGTGAGAGTAACTTAAAGTAATGCAATAGTAATGTAATGCCTTACATTTTAAATGCAGTAATATTGTAATGTAACGAATTACTTTGAAATGACAGTAATAGGTAATAAATAACGCATTACAGTTTGAAAGTAACTTGCCCAACAGTGGCAGTAGTAGTAGTTGTAGCAGCAAAAATATGAGTAATAGTAATAGTTTAGTACGTAGTGTGTTGATTTTTTTATTAGTTGACTAGTAAAATGATTATTTCTATTGTACAAAGAGTTTTAAAAATACATTTTAACCAAGTACAGGTAAAAATATGGCGACTGATAGCTTCTTAAAGTTCTTCTTAAAATGAAAATGTTGGCATTTTGATAATACTGCTGGCTGAAAGGTCTTTGAATCCAGATAATTATTAACAATTATTAAAATATGTCTAATCCCTGTAATCCCCTGTAGTCCCTCAATCATCCAGGTAGGTTCCATAGCAAAAGAAAATTCAATTCTGTCAGGACAAAAAAGTAGTTGCTGTAAAAGTTGTAGTAGTAGAAGTAGTAGTGGTAGCAATTGTTGTAGAAATTATATTAATAATAATCATAGTAGTAATATTAGTGGTGGTAGTATTAATAAAAGTAGTAGTAGCTGTAACAGTTGCTGTAAAGGTCATAGTAAAAGAAAAAGTAATGGGATTAGTTTTAGTCATAGAAAAAGTTGCTGTAGTAGTAGTAGTGTTGACGTACTGCTGACAGGAGATGGTGATGGGGTACTTTTGCTTCTGAGTTTTTTCAGAGTGTTCACGGCGACGTTCAGATAAATGTTTTTACTGCTGCTGCGCTCGTACACCACCTTCTCCTCATCAAGAGCCTGGAACACATGAGGTTTATACAAGATTAAAGATGCACTGTGTAACTTTTCTAGTCACCTGTTTGTTCCCTTGGAGATGTTACTACTTTGACTGCTATGTAACACAGTATGGCACTGAACTTATCTCCATGGAGACAAGCCGGTGCCATCAAGACAAATTTAATTTCTCCTTTTTGCCAATAAGGTGTAATGTTTACCCTCAATCAGAAAAGTTATATAGTGCAACTTTAGGACTGACTTACCAAACAAAAATACTACAGTACATTTGTTTAAGAGTGCATGAAAGATATAATGATAAAACTATGTAAAATTGTGATGGTTTTGCAGCATCTGATGCATGATAATCTAGATATGTCTATCTACAAATGTATCTTGTAATTGAAGGCAGGGTAGTTAAATTTAATGCCCTATGGTGGAACATGACATGCTAAGCAATAACATGTTCATTGAGACAAGTACGTATCATTCTCTCCATCAGAAAAAATACATAGTGCCTCTTTAAGACTTCCCAAACAAAGTCTTGCTACATTTATTTATTATAACTGAAGGAGAGATGCAAGGATATTTAACTATTATTCATGATTTTCTCACCACAGAAGGATTAAAAAAAAAGGTTTGGTACCCTAGCTTTGAGTTAAATCTCTCTTTTGAAATTATATAAACGTCGACAGTAGTTTTGTGCCATCTGAAAAGTACTGTTTGTATTTTGTACCATCTGAAAAGCAGAATGCTCTGACGCACAGAACTTGACACACTCGTCGATGAAGGTGTTAAGATATCGCTGTCGGATGTTGGTGGGAACTTTGGCTCCAAACTCAGTGGGAATGACCGGGCGCTTCATAGAAGTGCTCTGGAAAACAACAAATGCAAATTAAAAAAGGTTTATTTATTTAGTTATTTGAACATCAATTGCCCTAAACTGCAGTAAATGCATTGTGATTTCAGTAAATAGCTGAGGCGCTCAAAAGGATATGAGGCAAACATGTTCGAAACAAATATAACTTTACTGATAACAATTGTAATGCTGATTAATTCTAAGTTACAAAATAACATTGTATATGATGGCTAAGTTGTTTATATTAAAATTTGGTATTTTGTTTCTCAAGATTGTTATCCAGTCAGGAAGAAGAATGCGCCTCAGACAAGTCTCTCACTTGGGTTGCCAGTTTCAGTACTAAAAACCAGAACCTAAATGGACTCTCTCTGACCTGAACCCTCACTGCCTTTGCTGCTGCAGTATACGCTGTCCATATACTAAGAATGAGAAAAACTTGTCCTCTATCTACAGGTTAAAGGTGCATTGTATAATCTTTCTGGTGGAGGCACCATCAAATGCTTTTCTCTGTGGAAATGTTAATGCTTTGTCTGGAATGTTTCACAGTATGGTATTAAACCTTCCTATCATCATGGAGACCAGACCAGATCAAGGTACAGGTCAGATCTGTGGAAAGGCAACACCACTCACAGTTAGAATGTATGTTTTTCTAGGTATTTTTGAGCTATAAAAGTACCTGTAATTTAATAAATGTAAGGTAGATCTGTTTAATGTCATATTGTGGAAAATTCCTGGCAGAGCAATGACATATTCATAGAAACAAGCACGTGACAGACCCCCATCCAAAAAGTTAGTGCACCTTTAAGGCACTGGCAACCCAGGTGTGAGTTGATGTTCAGTTCAGTTGAAGTTCCCTTTTATAAACTGTAAGAGGCAGAGGCTACATACAGTTTCTTTAAACAGAGAACAGTTAATAGGTTGTGTTCATAACATTTTTCAACGTATCTCAGATGAATGACAAAATATTACAACTATGGGAGATTCACTGGTTTTGTAGGACATATGCAAACTTATGATCCACTAATGTTGTACACCAGAGGTCCTCAACCACCAGGACCTTCAGTACCAAGCCTCAGAGGAAAATATTACACACCGTTTCCAATGCGTTTTTATCATCTACCACTATTTCCCTGTATTTACTATGAAAATACAGTGTAATCAGCTGTGAACTGGAGATATTTGTCACAGTGAGAGACAAGAGGACACTGGACAAACTGCTCTTCATCATGGAAACTCCTGCTCGCCTACTGCACCAGAGGGACAGATAATACTCCCTACATCTGTACAACAACTCACCCACTGCACCAGACTGTAGAGGGACAGAGGAGCTCATTCTCCAACAGGCTCCAACATTCTTACTATAATACTCCCTAAAACCATACAACAACTCACCCATATGTAATAGATAATACTCCCTACAACTGTACAACAACTCAACCATATGCAACAGATAATACTCCCTACAACTGTACAACAACTCACCCTTATGTAACAGATAACCCTATGTCCTGTCATTCATCATATCATCTGAGCTGAGATATATTTGTATAAGTATGTTTTTATATTTTATTTTGACTTGTACATTTACATTTATATAATTATGCCTTTTCTGACACCAGTTTTGAACTATTTTTGCATCGTATTTAGAATTGATTATTACCATTTATAGTTTTACTCTTTGTTATTATATTATATTGTGATGTGTGAGCTACTGTGTCCAAATAATTTTCCTTGTGGATCAATAAATTTTGTTTAAGTCTAAGTCTATAAACTGATTTTGGGCTGTTGTTACTGGCCCCACCCCCTTCCCTGAACATTTTGTACCGCTCCTTCCTTATGAGAGAATGTCACTGTTGAACACTATCATTATTTATTAGGGATTGGTTACACAAACCTGCAAAATTAATTGCATGGCTTAAATTCCTTTCAACTGTCAAGTGACTTCAGAAATTGGTGTTATTATTTTAATAATAATAGAATAATAGAGTATAATAATAGCACCAATTTCACCATCACATTTGTTTATTCATACTGAGAGAAAGAAGAGAAGAAACTATGTGCCAGTTTTTATATCATGAGGATAGGCCCAGTAATTAGAGATATGAACTATAAACCAGGTCAGCAAATCTGCACTCTCTTAGTTAAACAACAAATTCCACCATGGGATTCAGACTTAAGTTTCATTTAAACTACTATTAAACTAGGTGATGCTAACTGTAGGCTCTGTTCTGTCTGAGGCTTTACTAGTATTTAATCAGAGTTTTAAACAAGTGGTAAACAAGTCTGTGTAGTTTAAATCCATTTTGTGCTTTTCCTTGAGTTTTCAGACTCAGTCTTATAACTTTTTCTGACAGCGTTTGCTAATGTGTGCATTGTGTCAACACGTCCTTGATCTGTTTTTGCTCTAACCTTGAGAGTTGGTGTGTGTGCCACCCTCTTCTGCTGCACCGTGGAGGAGGTCTTGGGCAGGATCCCCGCTGTGGTCTGAGTCCGGACAGACGGCTGTGTTTGAGACAACACTCTGCTCGGGTCTGGCTTAACTTTTGCTGCACCTTTTCAAAACAGAAATACACAGATTGCTACCACAGACTGTATACATAAATGGACATTAAAACAAACAAATTAATTAATTAAAAACATGCAATATAGGTTTCCAGGAAGAATAGTTGATAGCTAATGGAGGTTAATTACAGCAGTTAGTTCAGTGATACATGATGGAAATTCATAAGACAGGCTGTGCTGTACCTTCTATACATCACATATGCTGCCCATGTTAAACCAGGAAGCAAAAAAAAACAAAAAACATAGCTAACCCACTAGTTGCCACATTCCAAATAGGAAGTGAATATGGGGACGCTTCTGGCTCAATCAACTTCAACTCCAATTGACTTTACATTGAAAAATTGTCCCCCCTCTCTCTGTAACTGCTGCACTGAGCCTCATCATTTTGATCTTAAAATGTTCGGATTAATTCGCTCTACATGATCCTGGTGTTTTTATTTCGCACTTTTGTCGATAAATACATTTCTATTCCTAATATTGAACTCAACTCTGAACTCACACCTATAACGGCCAGCCTCAGTGAGCTTCATTTGACTGGAGGCAAATGCTATGCTGATATCACACTCCCTTAGTTCATTTGTTTATACAGTGGAGGGTTTGTGTGTTACACGTGTGAATGAAACAAACCACAACTCAGGTATGTTTTTGATGAGAAAACAACTTTATAACATAGATCAGAAAATAGTGTAATACATGACTTTTAAAAGATTGATTGATTGATTGATTGATAGCATTTATATAGCGCCTTTCAAGATACCCAAAGCGCTTTACAGTTCATTATTCAGTCACTCCACACTCAGTGGTACATTGTACATTGTGTAACCTTTCTGGTGGAGTGTCTGTCAAATGCTGTTCTTCGTGGGGATGTTATTGCTTCATCTGGTATTACTTTACTTTCTATCTTCAAACCAGACCAAGTTACAGGTCAGATCTGTGCTCATAATTAGAATGTCTGTTTTTCTAGGTAATTTTGAGCTATAAAACCACCTGTAATTGAACAAATGTAAGATGGAGCTGTTTACTTCCTGCTTCTGAAGAGTGTGGACGCTATCCTTGCTTGCTCCTGCTGTTTTTGCTTTTTAATCAGTTTACCTCCTCCAACAACGGATAATGTGTCTATTTTTGATTTCCTTTTAAGTAAATTAATACTTTTAAACATTTTTAAATTTTTTAACAAATCATCTGATGAGCCAGCAACATGTCGGGGAGAAGAAACCAAGGGAATTCTATCTGTGAGCGCTGTCGGAACTATCAACAAGAAATTTATGAGCTACAAGCACGGATATTTGCTTTAGAAACTGAAAAAGGACTTCATCAGACGCTACCAGTGACTTCCAGTGGTGAGCAACCTACAGTTACTTCTAGAGAAGAGGGTGAAAATTCTTTCAACTTAAACCTGAGTGATACTGTGTCTTTTCCAAAACTTGGTACAGACCAAAATGCTAAGCCAGCGCAGCGAGTGATAAAAGACAATGCTAATATCATTATATCACCCACAGTAAAGCTAACAAACAGATTTTCACCACTGTCACAGACTCATGTTAACGTACAAACGGATAATGTACTGTCATCACAAACAAGAACAATAAAGTTGGCAAAAGAGTGCAGGCATACTGGGAATCTGTGCCAAACGTCAAGGTCAGAGATACGTTGCTGCTAGGAGACGGGTCTATCAGTGGTGTGAGTCACAGAAGAATCCTAACATGCTGCTACCCGACCTACACTGTTTCTGAGATAACAAAACTCCTGCCAAAAGTTTTGTCAACACACCAAGGGGTTAAACAGCTGATTGTGCACGTGGGTGCAGTGGACATCAGAATGGAACAGAGTGAAGTCTTGAAAAGGGATTTCACTAAATTATTCGAGGAGCTTAATAAAGTGGAGGTTAAGACATTTATCAGTGGACCTCTTCCCAACATAGACCTAAGGAACAGGAACAAATTTACCCGACTGTTTCAGCTGAACACGTGGCTGCTGAACGTGTGTGCGGCCAGAGGATTGCACTACATTGAGAACTTTGATCTATTTTGGAAACGGAAGGACCTGTTTGAGGGAAATGGCCCACACCTAAGCAGAGGTGGAGTGAGAGTGTTGACGGAAAACCTCCTCCACGCTCTGAGGCACCGGCCTGGACAGGGTCCTGTGCATCCAGTGAGAGAAAAGAGAAATGGGAGAAGCATCCCTACTGCACCAAACAGAGAACCAGCCAAAAAGTCAGCACCATTGACAGCACCACCACTGCCACAACCACAACCACTTCCCCCTCCCCCAGACAACAACTCAGCAGCATCACCACCTCCCGCTCCCCCAGAGAACAAGTCAGCAGAACCACCTCCCCCAGAGAACAAGTCAGCAGAACCACCCCCCCCTCCCCCAGAGAACAAGTCAGCAGAACCACCTCCCCCAGAGAATGAGTCAACACCACCACCACCTCCCCCAGCGCCACCAGCACACCCATCACCTCCGCTGCCCACAGACCAGCCTGGAGTCCCCTTTGCTACATCTACTCCATCAACGGACTCTTCACTCTCCTTCTCCTCCCCACCTTCACCCATGGCACTGCCCAACCATCTAGAAAGCCTCATCAGATCGGGAATCAAGATGGTTCCTCTCACACCTAATATAGCACGGTCAAGGGTTCTGACATCAACTATGTTGAACTCTCCCCCATACAAAACTGTGCCTGTTTCACCACCAGAGACTCTCTCAGCTCTCCCCTCACCCAAACCTCCCCCTACTCCACCTCCTCGGTCCTTACCAGGTCCCTCACCCAAACCTCCCCGTATTCCACCTCCTCGGCCACCTCCTCGGCCCTCACCTGGTCCCTCACCTGGTCACTCACCCAAACTCTCCCCTGCTCGCCCTCCCCCGCCTTTCCCCAGAGCTGTTATCACCAAGAGCTAGGACGCACAGGGCCTCTGCTGTCCCAGGACATACAGTCATGATAAAGGTAATATCAGGCTGGGGCCCTGCGATGGAGCTATATCTCCAGTTACAACACATAGACGGATTAAAAGAAGGACAGTTAGACTGTCTAATCAGAGAAATTTAGTTCACATTCCCTGTAAGAAGATAACATCCAGTCCTACTGAAACTAATCAGAAACTTGCTGTGCTCAATGTCAGATCTTTATGTAACAAATCATTTCTAATTCATGATTTTATTTCTTCTTTTAATCTTGACTTTATGTTTTTAACTGAAACATGGCTTGACAAAAACACAGGTCATGCAGTGCTAGTGGAATCAACCTCTCCCAACTTCAAATTTGAATCTGAAACACGAGCAAATAAAAAGGGTGGAGGAGTGTGTGCATTTTTTAGAGATCATTTGGTTACACACAGGTTGTCATTTGGGGTGTTTTCATCATTTGAGTATGTTTCCTTCAAAATGGAGCTAAAACAATCACCGTCCATACTCTACATAGTCATATATACAAACCTCCTCAGCACTGTCAAAGTTTTATTGATGATTTTACTGAGATGCTTTCAGTTGTTTGCACAGACTTTGATGGTTTAGTCGTTACAGGTGATTTTAATGTACATGTGGATAATGTGTGTGACAAAAGTGCCAAAGAGCTTAGTGTTGTCCTTGAAACTTTTGGTCTGACTCAGCATGTCAGTGAGCCCACTCACATCAGAGGGCACACTCTGGACCTGCTCATTACAAAGGGTGTAAATATTTCAAATGTCAATGTGGTTGATGTTGCTCTGTCTGATCATTTCTGTGTCTTCTTTGACCTGTCTGTTATTCCCAAACCACCGGCTGCTCCTACAGTTGTTCGAAGAAGACACATAAATGATAACACAGGTGCACTGTTCATGGAAATGATCAATTTTGAAATTGCCTCATGTTCTAATGTTGATGATGTGTTGAACTCTGTGACTTTGAGTGTTTTGAATGTTCTGGATGCCATCGCCCCGATAAAGGTTAAAATGGTTAAAGATAGGCAAAAAGCTCCGTGGAGGAATGATGACTCAGTCAGAGCACAGAAAAGGGAGTGCCGGAAGGCTGAGCGGAAATGGCGCAAGTCAAACCTCCAGGTTCATTATGAGATTTACAGAGGAACAATGCATATGTACAACTACACTTTGAGTAAAACAAGAGAGAAGTATTTTTCGGACATTATTGGTAATTGCAGTAACAACTCTCGTGTCCTGTTTGCAACAGTGAACAGATTAACAAACCCTCCAGCTCCACTGCCACTAGAACTGATTTCCACATCTAAATGTAATGAGTTTGCAGTTTTCTTTAATGACAAAGTTCAGGGCATCAAAAATGCCATCAATTCCACAACACAAATAACAAGCATGCAGCCACAGAGACACTTAGAGCTGAATCACTTTGCACCTGTAACTGACAAAACTGTTTTAGAGATCGTTACCAGTCTGAGTTCATCTACTTGCTGCCTGGACATGTTACCCACTAGATTTCTAAAGTCCGTCCTCAACAGTTTACTTTCACCACTCACTCACATAGTTAACATGTCACTTCAATCTGGAACATTCCCAAACGCGTTGAAAACTGCAGTCATTAAGCCTCTCCTAAAGAAGAGCAGTCTTGATGCCACAGTACTGAACAATTTCGGACCCATCTCAAATCTGCCGTTTTTTGGCAAAGTCCTTGAAAAAGCTTACGAAGCTTACGAACTTTCTCCAAATGAACAACTCCTTTGATGTTTTCCAGTCAGGTTTTAGAGCTGATGCAGGCAAAGTCTCAGTCTTGATCCTGTTAGATCTGAGTGCTGCTTTTGACACTGTCGATCATGGGATCCTCTTACAGAGACTAGAGGACTGGGTGGGCATTTCTGGTACTGTACTAAACTGGTTCAAGTCCTATCTAGAAGACAGGAAGTATTTTGTTGAAATTAGAAACTGTGTCTCAGATCACATGGCCCTGACCTGTGGGGTGCCTCAGGGGTCAATCCTGGGCCCCCTGTTGTTCAATCTCTACATGCTGCCATTAGGCCAGTTAATAAGCAGCAATAACGTGTCCTACCACAATTATGCAGACGACACTCAGATCTACGTCTCTCTGGCAGCAGGAGACTATGGACCAGTGGACTCACTTTGTCACTGCATCCAACAGATCAGTGTGTGGATGCAAAACAACTTTCTCCAGCTAAACTCTGACAAGACTGAAGTCATAGTGTTTGGTCCACAGAAACAAAGGGACAGTGTCAGCAGTCACCTCCAGTCTCTCTCTCTAAAACCTTCAAATCAGGCAAGAAATCTAGGGGTAATAATGGACTCAGACTTGAACTTTAACAGCCACATCAAGTCAATAACATCTGCAGCATTTTACCATCTAAAAAACATAGCGAAAATCAAAGGTTTACTGTCTAAAGCAGACTTGGAGAAACTTATCCATGCGTTTGTCTCCAGTAGGTTAGATACTGTAATGGTCTGCTCACTGGTCTCTCCAAACGAGCTGTGAGACAACTGCAGAACATCCAGAACGCTGCAGCTCGGGTCCTTACTCGAACTAGGAAGTACGAGCACATAAGTCCTGTGCTCAGGTCTCTGCACTGGCTTCCTGTGCCTCAGAGAATAGACTTTAAAGCAGCTCTGCTTGTGTACAAGTCTCTTCATGGCCGAGCACCAAAGTACATCTGTGACATGTTAGTGTCATATGAACCATCTCGCACTCTGAGGAGCTCAGGGACCGGCCTCCTGCTGGTGCCCAGAGTCAGGACTAAACAAGGGGAGTCAGCGTTTCAGGTTCATGCAGCTAAAACCTGGAACAGTCTTCCTGAACATGTGAGACAGACTCTTCTGTGACGCTGTTTAAATCCAGACTCAAAACATTTCTGTTTAACTGTGCATATAACTGAAAGGTTTTCATTCCGCACTCTTCTCTCCAATTTATGTCTCTCTTTTTTAAAATTTTAATCTTCATGATTATTTATGTTTTGATTTGTTTTTATTATGATTTTAATGTATTTCTTATTCTGTAAAGCACTTTGAATTACTTTGTGTACGAATTGTGCTATACAAATAAACTTGACTTGCCTTGCCTTGCCTAATGTCATACTGTGGAACATTCCAGGCAGAGCAATGACATATCTGAAGAAACAAGCGATGGACCCTTCACCAGAAAAGTTACACAATGCACCTTTAAGAACCATTGTACAATATTAATGTTTTTTTCAGTTTTCAGGTCAATGATGCTGTATTAAAGTGTGTACCTGTTTTACTGGGTGTGATGTGTGGGTTGGGGCGGTGAGCGATCCTCTTCTTCTCTCCTGAGCCCCCCGCGCTGTGGCTCTGAGCGGAGGCCTTCACTGCTGCAGAGAGCTGAGCCGCCTGCTGCTGAGCCAACTGCATCCTCCTGTAACACACCTCCTGAGCTGTGGGCCGCTTGTAGGGACGCACCACGGCCTTGGGGGGCGCCTCCACCTGGAAATGAACACAATTAAAGATTTATTATTTTGGGAAGGGCAGCACAAATCCTGCACTAGAGCTGTCATAATAATAACATTTCAAACTCAATTTTGATATTAAGGAAAAAGCTCTATCAATTGGACAATTTATTAATTACATTATAGACATTTTTACTATTTTTCATAATTCATATATATTTTTTTCAGTTTTAACTGCTCATTTATAGTTTATTGTTTATTATTTCTCTAGTATATGTATGAAAACAGCTGAGCGTTATGAAATTTCCTTCAGAATTAATAACATTTCCATTGATCTATCTATATAATTTTGAAAGAAACAATCTTATTTTTTCATCATTCTGAAACCCATGGACACATCTCGATATTTAAATAAAAAATAATTGTAGGGATGTAACAGTAATCGAAATATTGTGAAATCATATCGTCAAAAGTCTTCCAATAATATGGCGGACCATCACAATATATAGAAATACAAGTCTCTTTGCTTAAATTAAGAGTTATGGTGCAGCAGTAGCTAAAATAAGAGAGGGAACTACATAGACCATGATCCTTTGCTCCATTTCAGTGCAGACTACATGAAATAACTGTTCTAAGATGTTTTGGTCTTTGGATTAAGTATTGTCAGGGATTTTAAGAGAAAAAAATAGCATATTCAAAGTTTTGTTAGTCTCCACAAAATATCGCAATAAATATCATACCGTGGCATTGGATATTGTTATATCTAGGGTTGGGTATCATTATGAAGTTGTCGATACGATACATACCTCGATGCAGTGCACTTTCGGTTCGATATGATATATTTCAAATTGATTTGATACAGTTCAATAAAAAATAAAGGCTGTGACACTAAACGTTTTTGTTGTTTATGTTACACATTTTCAACTTTTTTGTTATTCTGCTTTTTGTGCAATGTTCATATGAAACACAAACATTTTAATCATCCAAACTGTGAAATTGTCAAATGTGTTAAATAAAATGAGTTTCCTTCCACTAAACAAGCAACAAAACTGTAGCACTTTAACAAAATAATTTAATAAAATATACCAAAAATATATTCTTGGTGATATATTGATACAGCAGCCCATGATATCGATACTGTATCATCACATTAAACGATACAATATATCGATATTTTTGCACACCCCTAGTTACATCCCTAATTATTTGTATAACATAATGTCATTTGGGAAAGAGAATGCTATTTTTTTTGTTTGTTTATTTTACCATGTAGGTTTTAAAACACATTTTTATGACCATTTGATCCAACTGTGTGTTCATGGGCCCATTTAGTGTTTTATTTTCAACAAAAAGCATCAGTGCAACTAACTGAAACTGTTGCCTAATGCTAACTTATGACTATAATCTAACATGTAAGAGACTTGTTTAACAGCACAACTCAGCTCACCTGCTGTAGTTCCAACCAAGTCAGTTTTTTCAGGTCAGGGTGTGTTAAAACAAAGTTCGGATTAAAGTCTAACTGGAGAAACAGCACTTCATACAGAGCAGTGCTTACAGTTAGCACACTCCCAGAGGACGTTGATGATATCAGCTGTAACTTATTCTTTGTGTGTGATTAAAAACTGTCATTGGTATAGCATGTTACTGAAAACCCTTCCCCGCCCAGTGAATATTTCTAACAAGTTGCCTTTTACTTCCTTGTGATTGAGCCATGGGAATTTCCAGGAGTAAAATCTGGTTGTGTTCTCAACTCATTACAGTCATAGTTAAAATGAAGCACTCACATTTCCTTTGGCAACAAAATGGGAGACTCTCTTCTTCTGCCCGGGAAAGAGAGTGGTTAAAGTGCCATCAGTTTCCTTCTCCTCGTCTGAATCTCTTGAAGCCTGCTACAGTGAGACAAAAACACTTTAATGACAGCAAAAATATACAGCAAAAGTGACATGAATAATTGTACAGTAATAGTAATGTCCCTGTCAGCTCAGTTCCTGTAGGCAGGGTGTAGCTCCAAATTCTGGGCCCTGGTTACAAACCATCTTGGTGGGTCCACACTACATGTTGTCTAATAAAAAATGCACTTTACAGACTTTGAGAAGGACCTCTCCCAGCTCTGGGCCAAAAGTTCTATGTGCATACAATAAGATGTGAAGTATAGAGAGTTGAATAATTAAGTTCTATTAGTCACTATACTGATGCAAATTAACTCTTGAAGTGTCTCATTCACCTACTTAATTATTGCATGTCAGGTTTTTTAAAGATATTGCACATTTAGATTTGTTGTTTTGTTTTATTTATTACAATACTATAGATTATTGTCTATTTTTTCTTCACTGCCTGTCTTGTATGAGGACCAGAGCCGTCAGTGGCCGTGCCCCCCAACACTGGACCTCCTTCCCATCATGCATCTATGACATTGACTCCATCTCTTCTTTCAGAACCCAATTAAAAACCCATCTCTTCAGAGTAGCCTGCATGATAGTTTGTCCTGTGTCCTCTGCGTCTTTTATTGTTTTTTTCCTTGTGTCTTTGTGATTTTAATGATTTTTAGCAAGGTAACTTTGAGAGTCCTGAAAGGCACCATTAAATAAAATGCATTATTATGATGACCTGTATATTGTAAGCAAAAATGTGTTATCGTAACTGGCCTACTCAATATTCAAATTTTCCATCTTCAAAACAGCATTCCTGATATTATAATTTTTATGACCCAAATCAAATGAAACACATCGACTTATACCTATAATACTATATATTACCTGTTTAGTTTGCCTTGCTTTCTCCTCCTTCAGGTCACTAGGCTCATTAAATACTTATGTTGTATACCACTATCCCTATTTCAACATTTATAACACACGTTTTTGCAATTTTCATCTTCTGCATGTGATAATTTTTTTTTCTTCTTCTTTTTCTTTCTTTTTTAGCAGCTTTTTAAACCAGATTATATAGTGGAAACATTTTTGCATATCTTCAAAACAACATGCACGACATTATTGATTATTAAAATCCAAATCAAATAAAACACATTGACATACATTACCTGTTTTCCCTTGTAGTCCTTTTTCACATCATTAAACTCAGTGAATACTTATGTTGTACACTACTACTGTATACTACACTACTTTTTTTTTGCCATTTTCATTTCCAGCATGTACATTTTTGGTTGTTTTTTAATTGTTTTTGTAGTATTTTAGTTAAACTATATACTGGATATATTTTTGCATAGCTTCGAACTGTTTTCCCGATATTATCCATTTTTAGAATCCAAATAAAAATAAAACACACTGAAATACATTACCTGTTTAGCCTGCCTTCCTTTGTCCTCCTTCTTCACATCATTGGACTCATTGAATATTCTCAAACACTCTTCGAGGGGGTCAGATTCGAAGTCCAGATCGTCCTGTAGACTGGACAGATCTATGCCCAGACTCTCCACGTCCTGTTTAGCTGCCTTCCTGCTGACCGCACTGTCCGCCTCGTCTTCTGAACCGGAAGGGGTCAACTCAGACGCTTTCCTTTTGTTTAATCGTCTCTTTACCGCCTCTGCGCATTTTCGCACCAGCATCTCCTCTTCTTCGTCGTCATCGTCATTATCAACCTCAATTGGCTCCGCCTCTTCTGGGCTCTCGTCGCCAAACAGATCGGCGTGACTCAAGCTTAAACTTCTCTCTTTTTGTTGAGATTTTTTCAAACTTCTAGGGCTACTGCTGTTTTTAACCATTTTATCTTTACTACTTGTCCCTTTACTGTTACTACTACTACTGCTTCGACTGCCAGAGCTAGTTTTGCTGTCTGAATCTTTGAAACTCTTACCACTTTCAAGCTGACCATTTTTGTGATGTCTGCTCTTGTCTTTATCACATATTTTGGCTTTTTTGCTGTCACTCCCACCACTTTCAGTATCTCTGTGACGCTTATTGCTCGAGTCTGTTTTTATTTTGTCTGTTGATTTCACCTTCAAATCACTCCGTCTCTCCTCCTTCCCTCCATCCTTACTCGTTCTTATCTTATCTCGATTCCTCTCCCCCTCTTTCTTCGAGGAACTTTTGTTTTCTTTCTTAGAAGTGTCATGATTTGAAGTTTTTAACACCTTAGTTTTATCAGTGCTACTGCTACTTTTACTACTAGATGTTGTGCTGGATTTTTTCAAGTCTTTATCTGTTTTTTTCTCCACTTTGCTACTGTCTGATTTCTTTTTATCTGGGCTACTCTTGTGTTTGACATGATCCAATTTCGTTGAGTCAATCACCTCTTGTTTATTCCTTTGCGTCAGTGCATTTTGAACACAATCAGTCCTTATTTTTTTCTCGCTCCAAACCACATCTACGTCTGTATTATTGCTGTCCTTTTTCAGCTGTAGATTACTTAGTGAAGTTGGTTTATACTCTGTCCCAGAACTTTCCCCATCCGAGTCTGAAATCGTGTACTTTTTAACATCTACAGAAGCTGGTGGTGGCGGCTTTTTAACACAGACCACATACTCCTCAGTTGGTACTCTAGATGATTTGTTCCCATCATTTTTACCAGTCTCTTCTTTCTTACTTTTCCCCGCAATACTTGCTGAAAAGTTCGATAAAGGGTCATACTCCATGTCTGTAGATGGTTTGGTATTGTCCAGAGTGTATTTCGATTTTGTGGATGATGTGCTGTTGGAATACTTTGGACTGGGAGGAGATGACTGGAGATTCTGAGTCCGAGCTGTAGATTTTTTCATTAAAGTTGGTACATACTCCATAGAATTTGCACTGTTTTCTTGTGTGTTTGTATCCAGTGTGTACTTGCTGCAGCCTGGACTGGGATTATACTCCCCTGATGTCATTTGGTAACTCCCGGGGTCATAGGTCATGTGTGTGGCCTTTGGTTTGGTGCTTTCCAGTGAGGCGTTGTCGCTGGGGTCGTAGGGTTCATCTCCGATTCGAGACAGCTTCCTCTTCTCTTTCTCCATCTGGCAGCGCACCTCCTCGATCGCCCGGTTGACCAAAGCCAGAGCTCCGCTGATGTCGCCTGAAGCTGCCTGTTCATTCTGAGGCTCTGACGGATGCACCACCTCCGGGTTAAAGGGGTCGTAGCCCTGATCTGTGGAGAGAAACACAAATAATTAGTGTCTGCGCTCAATATAATTTTAATAAAGATATAACAAGCCCTTGCTATTTTTGCTACTTATTTTATTTATCTACTAATTTATTATTACCATTATATTTTTTGTCTTTGTTATTATAATATATTGTGACGTGTGAGCTATTGCGTCCTAGTAATTTCCCTTGTAGATCAATAAAGTTTGTTTAAGTCTAAGAAAATATAGATGATAAATGATACTACCAAAACAAATTTATACCACTGACACAATAAAGAGCAGATTCAAACCACAAAAATTATTCTAAATGTGCAATATTGTTAAAAAAAAATCATGAGCTGCAATAAATAAACAGCAGAATGAAACTGAAGTACTCATTTTGCATCTGTAATAAGTCACAGAAGTTATTAATTCAATATTTTACATCTTAAATCTTGTCATATAGTCAAAAAATAACCACCAATATCCCAGTAGTGCAAAGAAAATGTACACACAATAAATATTGAACCCAAAAATTATTGTTCCATCTGTCATGTAATGAATAAGTTGATACAGTTATTATCATGACAGACCTAAATATAACTGAAAAAAATAGAACTAAAAACTATGAGTTTTCATAAATCAGAGATGTCCAAACTATTTTCACCAAGAGCCACACATATTATATTGCTGACATTCTGCAGCTTGTGTGGAGACTGTCATACTTACACAGACTACAGCAAACTAGCTGTATATCTAAAACTGGCACATTTACTGAAATATATATTGATGTGCATTGTCCCTCTTCAAATCAAATAAATGAAAATACAATTCAGTTAAAACATATATTCGTAGTGGAGGACAACAGCCGCTGATCAGTACAGTGAGTCATTCAGGCAGATGAGTTTTATGTAAGTCTGACAGAGCCACCTTGCTTGTATCACAATCTAAATTGGTGTTATCGAGATTATAGTTGTAGATTATTAATAGATAAGTAAATATGGAGAAAAGTACTTCCTCTGATTACCTGGCCAAACAAAAGACGTGTCATTGTTTTTATTAGGCTCCACATCATCTGCCAATTAACTGCCTACTAGTCTTGCTGGGGTTTGAGGGCCATAGTTTGGACACTGCTGTTATAAAGGTTTATCATTCAAAGATACACTTGGAAAAAAACATACAGCCCATTTACCTGCAGCCTCAGTATTTACACAACATCTGAACAAGGAAAGACCTGTTTGAGAGTGAGGCCTCAGTAATCCCAACTAAAGGCAAAGCAGGAAGAAAAATCTGTTTACACAAACTCAGTACACCTGAGCAATGAGAACTTCTACAAGGCATAGCATATTATGAAAATGCCTATCTGAAAAATAGCAAAAGCACAATTGCTGTATGCATTTAATAAACACACTTTCTTTAAAGGTCTTATACTGCACAAAATGGACTACTGTGAGCTTTAAGCTATGTTATAATATTGTTACCTCCTCAAAAACATATCTGGAGTTGTGTTTTGTTTCATTCACACGTTTGAGAAACACTTTATTATTAGTCTGTCTACATCTCCAAAGCTCAAAATGCTCTGTTCCACCTTGTGATATCATGAAGCGGTAGTTCTCAAGTGAACTACCTTTTACTTTTTGTTCAGTAGTGATTGGCAGTAAAGAGCTGAAATCATCCAACTGATTCTAGTTAAGGTGTGTGGAGTTTAAAAATACAGTTAAGCACTTAATAACGCATGCAGGGTTTGTGTGTTAAACATGTGAATGAAACAAAACACAACTCCAGATCTGTTTGTGATGAGGAAACAGCATAACATAGTTCAGAAAATAGCTTGACATTGACCCTTTAACGTGGAGAATTACTACTATTACTAGAAGTATAACATGTGTAACTCTGTAACTAAAAGCATGCATTATATGGGCTCATGTGTTGTTTGTTTATTTGCAGAAACCAATTCGAAACCTAGGGTGACCAAATTTTCTAAATTCAAAACTGGAACACTAAACTAGGACAGGTAGTATAAATAAAATAGTGAAAAGAGTGTGTAACATTGTGCATTCTTGTGTCAGTCATAATCTGAGGGTGTTCTGATGCTGCATTTTTTTTTTTTTTTTTTTTTTTTGCTTTAGGGTCAAATTTCTGTATTCTGGCAAAATAAATGACAATTTATGCTCCTCTTTAATGTTGGCAGGGATCTGATTAGTCAAACATTGTGACAGTCCTGGTTTTAGACCTGATGTAGTCCTGGTTTAATCTTAATTTAATCTTGGTTTAGATCAAACTGGTCAAAAATAGGGACACCTGGGAGATTTCTTGTAAAAAACTGGGACAGATCACTGGTTTTGGATAAATCTGATGGGACAGGGGACACAAGGCTCAAAACTGGGACTGTCCCGGGTAAATAGGGATGTCAGCTCACTCTATACAAAACCTTTTATATCTACGATTATACCGGCGTACTTCAAAATCCTATTCTTGTTAGCGGTGCATGTGCAAACTCTTAGGGTTAAATGCAAATTGCATCAGTTTGATAGCGGTAAAGTTGCACCTTTTTGAGCAGCGGGGAGGTCTTTCTTTTTGCTTTCTGTGGCTCCGTAGGACAGGAGACGGTGTTGGCTGTGCCTGAAGTGACAGTACGGTCTGTTACACCCATTCTTGCCGCCTTTCCCCTCACTGCAGTCGGTGTAAAACGGGCAGTCAATCCCTCGGAAGAAGCCAGTGGACCGTAACATCCTTTAGAAACGTTCCTCTCATTCCCGTTGACGTTCTGAAGTTGAAGTTTTTTGTCTTGACTGCAAAATCTTGTGGGCGACGAAACAATAACAACGTCCCTACGGCGCCATGTTGGATCGCTCGGGAAGTGAAACCTCGCGAGAACGGTCAAAACGTGCGTGGCGTTGCGTGCCGCGTGTGCGTGTAGTTCACAGTCACACACTTAGATGAAAGTTTACAGATAAATATCAAGCACAGGAAATGATTTGTGCTTTATTGCTGTAGTTAACTCTATCAACCTTTTATGGCGTTCACATTTTGCGACATTGTGCTAGCCTTAGCTTATATAATACAGTGCAATCATTTAAGTGGACGTGCACCTTTTTAAATTTATAAAAACACAATTGGTACACGGTTTATATTATAACATGGAAAAGAAACACGGACAAAATGCAAGTTGTCGTCAATCTACTACAAATCTACAAAAAAATAAATAAATAAATCTATTGCAAAATCAATGCAACAACGAACAAATGTATGATGGAAATGAACCCGAATGGATCTCAGGTAAGATACACTTCTCAGGGGTAAAAAAGGTGAGAAGGGCGCGACCACAGTAATCGACACCAAGACCAGACTGAGACCACATTGTCCCGAGACCGAGACAAGACCAGGACTTCTGAGGGTTTAAACCCAAACAAGACCAAGAGCATAGTTCATTGAGACCATCTTTGTCATTTTCTACATTTATTTGTATTTTACAGTTATTTTGGCACATATATATCAATGTTTTTTATAAATCTATCTCCATTTTATCTGATTAATGTTAATTTAGGCCTAAAATAAGCCAAGCAAACTGTACTGCACTGAAACACTATGCACATCTTTTTTGGACCCTCACCCACAGTTTGAGAACCCCTTCTTTAAGAGAACTTCCACCGGCGCTTTACACAAAACTGAAAAAAAGTGAATTAAGTGAATAGGATTTTTAAACCTGTTTTTTCAAGTTCCTAACTGGAGTTACATTCTCTTACTAGTCTTACTGGTTACTGGTGGTAGTTACCGGCCTCTGCACATTTACCAAATGCACTTCGTGACAAACACAGATTTATTTGGCATTTTGTTAGGCAAACTTCAACCACATGCTGCGTTAGGCCTGTTCTGTGCTGTAGCTCTGCTCTGTGCTGTAGCTCTGCTTTGTGCTGTAGCTCTGCTTTGTGCTGTAGATCTGCTCTGTGCTGTAAGTTTGCTCTGTGCTGTAAGTTTGCTCTGTGCTGTAGGTCTGCTATGTAGTCTTGCTCTTCTAATCAGCACGCACTGAGGAGGGAGCCAGTGTGCGGTGAGGACAGACAGTGTGAAAAGGCGAGGAGCAGCGAGTTGACGTGAGGCGGTGGACAGGTAGGATGGCTGGTGAGGCAAAGTGTGCTGCGATCTCTCTCTCCATCTCTCTCTCCCTCTCTCTCTCTCTCTCTCTCTCTCTATAGGCTCAAATGTTCAAATGCAGAGAGGGAGAGAGAGAGACAGAGAGTAAACCTGGAATAACCCAGAACTACACCAAGACTGCCCCAGGACTAAACCAGTCCACATCAAGATTAAGCTCCAGTGCAGCACAGCAGGGAGCAGTTCACAGGGACTGGGGTCAAGACAGAGCTACCTGGACTAACACCGGACTAACACCGGACTAACACCGGACTAACACCGGACTAACACCGGACTAACACCGGACTAACACCGGACTAACACCGGACTAACACCGGACTAACACCGGACTAACACCGGACTAACACCGGACTAAACCAGGACTAACACCGGACTAAACCAGGACTAAACCAGGACTAAACCAGGACTGACATTAGGTTCCAGTGCAGTACAGCAGGGAACAGTTCAGGGGACTGGGGTCAAGCTTGTGGCGTTCACTCACATCAAGCCTCAGCGGGGGGGTGGTCTGTGTGAGAGCACTGCCACATGGTGACTTCCACCTTGGACTCATCGTTAAACCAGGACGAAACCAAGACTAAACCTAGGTCTAAATCAGGACTAAACTATGACTAAACCAGGACTAACCCATGACTAAAACCAGACAGGGTTGAAGTTAATAGGGTTACATGTGACGGCCGATCATTACACACAGTACATTATACTGTATATCAGAACAAAAGCTCCAAAACTCGTTGTACTTCCTGTGCTTATTGTGTTCTGTGGCCTTGTCTTGATTATGACTAGGGCCTGTAAACACTGGTAAACATGAAAACCCATTAATTTTTATCATTTGGTTTTGGCAACAAGATCCACTTAGTTATTTTGAAAAAAAAAGTAAAACACTGACCTAGCTGATATTGTCTCTTATTATCTGTAAAGGTAGAGATGTAAGGTCTTAAACCTGCTTTTTCTTTATAACTAAAATAAAGTGATAATGTAGTGTTTAGCCTTATACAGTATAGCTTAGGTCTACAGTCTTTCATTAAGGCTGGAGAAAGCAGAGCGAGTTATGAAGTGCCTCTGTCAAATTCTTGAGAATGAAAAATGAGTCAGGAGGGATGTGCTTTGGGAGTTTTCCATGAAGGAATTTGGTTCTTGGTTGACTCCTTTTAAAAATAACAAAAGTTTAAGTGGGCCAAATAATTCTTTATGTCCACTAGGGGGGTCTATTTTGAAAATATGTGTAAAACCTCTCAGTCGTCTAGGTAGAATCCATGGCAAACGAGAAATTCAATTTGTCAACTGGCCAAACGTTTATTTTAGTCAAAGTCGACCAAAGTTCGGTCAAAATAAATGTTTGTCCAGTTGACAAATTTAATTTCTCCTTTGCTATTTTGAAAATATGTAATTCATTTAGCAAATACACAAACCTTTTTCACTTTTTATTGAAGTGAATGGAAGTCAGTGGGAGCTCAGAGGGCTCTTTGTTTTTGAACAAATTTGAGCAAAACAATTTATCTGTTAACATGGGAACAGCATATTATACGTTTTTTGAAAGCTCTCAACTTTCCCCACATCACCGTGGGGTCATTGGTGAATGACCTGCGCGTCTGTACCATCGCGTCGGGGTTGCCTGTTGACCTCCCATTGACTTCCATTCATTTTAGCAGTGATAAATATGGCCCAGGCCTTGGGCGTGAGTTCCTGGGATACTGCTGTTCATGTCGGGGACGACCGAGAGGATGAAGCTGCACCACGTCCTCTCGCATTCACCCATGCGCTCATCATTGCCCATGTGCTTGTCTGTGTGAACGGAATAGGCTTTACACCCTGTCAGGGCTCGGGCCTAATTAATGACAGATCTCTATCGAAAAGAAACTGATAAATGGTTCTTTCCACATGCAGACTCCTACCATCCTCCTCATCTGAAAAAAAAAGTTTGCTAATCAGCCAATTTAATCAGGGCAGAAGAATTTGTACTAAACAAAAAGTCTATGTCAAACAAGTGGATGACCTAGAGAATGGCTTCAGGTTGCACACAAGGAGGAGTGGATAAAAGGAGCCACAGGCAAAACTAAAAAGACAAATGGACTAAAAGTGTACCCAGATACTATAAAAAATTTTCTGCTCTGAAAACATCTTAAGAAAGCACTGGCACATCATGAACATAGATCCATCACTACAAAATGTGTTCAAGGAGCCTCCTCAAGTAGCCTAGTGTACAAACATCCTCCAAACTTCAGACAAATGCTAGTTAAGTCTGATCTGATTCCTCCCAGAAGCAGTACATTTTTAGACCTTCCACCAGCAAACTATCGCTGCAGGTTATGTGCTGTGTAATTTGACTTATAAATGTAAAACTTCTACACACCCATCCACGTGAAAGATTATGAAAATCAAATGGCTTTCAATCATGTTATTGTTCCCTTATAAAATACACACCTGAAGAGGTTTAGATGCCGTCCAAGAATGTAATTTAGTGATCTCTCCTGGAGCGTATTTGAACCCTCCTTATGATGAGCTGTAACATTCTGTACAAGGCTCCACCCCAAGCCAACGTCACCTACGCTCCCACATGACAATCCTCTTTAAATATAAAAACACATGATACAGACAGCAGTTTAGTTTAGTTTGAAATGCTTTATTTACAATACTCCAAAAGCCGTTTCTGTATAAACGGGGAATCGACTTGTCCAGTCATGAGGGTATTGGTTAAAAAGGTTGTAAGGACTTGGGCAGAGGTCTGGGCGTTTGGTTGGGCTGGGGTGGACAAGGGATCTTGTCTGGACAGAGAGACGGGCGGGGTGTGCGAGAGAGCGAGGGTTTTTAACCAATAAGCACCGCCCCTTTCCAGAGAAAAAACACACCCATTTAAAGTGGCAGAGGGGCAGAGGAACGACACTGTTACCGCTTTTCCAGTTGTGGAGTAGTTTCATTAGCGGGATGCACGCTGATTGTATTTTGATAGTGCTCTCAGGGAAGAGTAATTCAGCATGGAGAGGAAAAGGAGGGGAGAAACTTATAAAAGCTATCATTACGTTGTTGTTGGTGGTGGTGGTGACCTAAATATGTTACGTGTTGACACGTAATAGCCCATAGAAGTGAAATATCCACTCTTTAAAGACACTTTCACTGTTCTAGCCCCGCCCCCTTTTGTGTTTCAATGAATAATGGAAAAAAACGGATAATGGCCTTTTCCCATTTCTGTGACTTAAACTGTGATGCTGGACTTTTGCCCCGCATACGGACTGAACCAGGACTGAACCAGGACTGAACCAGGACTGAACCAGGACTGAACCAGGACTGAAACAGGACTGAAACAGGACTGAAACAGGACTACACCAGGACAGAACGGGCCTGGAGGTGCATCCACGTAGACTGTCAGGTAATCAGGCCTAGACTTAAATATCTACGCAATGAAAAGGCTGCAAACACTGGAGAAACTTCTTTGTTTATGTGTTCCATCATGCGCCACTAGGTGTCACTGTGCACCTATGGGAGAGGCTGGGGGCGTATGTGGTGACGTGCCACACAGTGCCTACAGGCTCCAGACGAATGCACAGGCTGCAGAGAGATTCTAGTTGTAGAGAGTATTATAGTATGAATGTTGTCCTGTATCTCTCACTGTTTGAGTTTAGCTGTAGGAGCCTGCTGGAGAATGAGCTCTGAGGTCTGGTGCAGCGGGTGAGTTGTTGCACAGTTGTAGGGAGTAT